GAATTTATTAAAATTATTACATTTTGTTTTGTTTGGTTTTTTGTTATTTACATAAAATTTAAAAAAAATGTTAATAATAGTTATTATAGGTGGGTAAACATTTAAATGGTACAAGTTATGAAGAGTAAAAACATAAATATTTTTACATTCAAGGTAGGAATTTAGTTTTATTATGTTATATTATTTTTGAATAGATGAAAAAGAATGTAATATTGAACATAATATTTTGAAATAAATCATTTATTGAATATTGTACTTGCAAATTTCTATTCTTTCTCTCTTAATTTACTACATTTCACTATGTTTAAGAAAATGAAACTAAGTTTGATATAATTAGAGTTAATAATATTAAAATATAATTATATATATAAATTTGAACAAAAATTTCTGGGGAAAAACCAAGGTAACTCCAAAAATGTTAGGTTAGTATTAGCTCTAATTTCAAATCAAAAACGAAAATCGTATCACCTACTGTGGCATATTTTTCATCGTGGTCTTACATATCTAAATTGATATTAACATTAGTTTTATCTTAAACTCAATATTTTTAAAATGGTTTTTTATGGCTCCTGAACAATTACTAAAAATGGAGCTGTCTGGTTTTTGCACGGACGCCTTCAATTGTAAACATAGATTATAATTAATAAAGACACATTTTATTCAATAGTCAACAACTTATTTTTTTCTAGAACTAAATATTTTTATATACATTTTAAATATCATAATATCAAGAGGATAAGTAATGAAAAGTAAATAAATATTTTCATCAAAATAATAAAACAAAATATTAATTTTTATTAAATCATTTAATAAATGCATTAAAAAGGTTAAACTGTATTATTAATACATTTAATTTAAGTAATTTTTAAAATTTTGAACAAAAGTATTATCAAGCAAATATTTTACTTAGTTTTCAAGAATTCTTTTTAGACGCTCAAAAATTGGATTGAATATTTTACGATAACCTATTTCAGTTGGATGAAGATAATCCATTGCATCTTCTTGACTTAATGTTCCATCTGGTTGTAACAAATGAGGATTGAATATTTCAACTCTACAAATATCTTTCACTTTTTCACTGACAATTTCATTTACTTGAGTTCCCAAAATTCTCAATGGATTTGGATAAGGACCACGTGGTAATATTCCCTATAGATATATAGATAAAAGTTATTAAATATACAATGAGATGAGTTTAAAATATCTATTGTAAAACATATTAAACTATTTTAGTCCTCAAATACACTAATTTCTATCGTTTTGATTAATGCAATTTTATTTCAAAAAAGAGTGATCCAACCTTTTTTAGCCCAAATATTAAATTCACATTCAAATCATTATGGTGAACCAGAAAAAAAAATTTTTACGTAAATTTTAATTTAAGTATTATTAAATAACAAATATTTGTGTTTATACTGCAAATAACAAACATTTAAATTGTAATTTAATTTTTTTATTTTATTTATTTTAATTACACATCAATATATAATTTTATAATAACAATTAAATATTGTGATTGATAATCTGAAACACGATTCTAATTTCTAATAATGAATTATCAATATGATTCTTAATTTCAACTTCATTGAATTCATAGTAAAAAATGCTGTTTACAAATAAGTGCTTCAAATAGGTAATAATAAAATTTCAGAAAGAAATTATATAGATTTAGAATTTGTTCTTATGATTTTTAAAATTTTTTTCTTAATTGGAGTTAAGTGTCAAATTGTGTATCATACGTGAAATATTAAAAGATTGTAAAAGAATATAAAATCTCATTAGAATTTGGAACAATGAATAATTCAAACTTTTATTTAAATCTTTTTCTGAAAAAATGGATTTAAACTAAATTAAATAAATTGATTGATTTTCAATACTTATAATTACTGCACACAATGGGAAATATGTCATTATATTTTATGGGATTTAAAAAAAACTGATTGTTTTTCTGAAATTTTATTTATTTTTATTTAATATAAGCTGTCAAATAATTTGTTGTTTGCTTCATGGTATTAAATTTAAAATATTTAAATATTATGTTGAATTAGTAAAAAAAAATGAAAGAATTTAAAACTGTATACTCTCTAAATTCTCATAAAAGTTTTCATAACACAAAAAGTTAATAAATAATTTCCAGTTATTTTACCTCATAATGAATACAAATATTACCATACTCAGTTTCCATTACTTACAAATATGTAATTTTTTTTTCAGTTAGATTACATTTTTTCAGTTCTAGGTATTTACAACTGAATGCTTAATAATAAAAGTTGTTATGATTTTAAATTTAAATATAAAGTTCTTACAATGATTATAATGTAACAATCAGGAAGTTTTGATCGAATTTCCCTAACAATAGCCAATATACCTTCGGAAATTTGAACTGGGGTATTATCAATGTTATTTGATCCAACATTAAGAATACAAACCTATAAGAAATTAAACAGAGATATTTTTTAAAACAATAATATGATGTACAAAATAATTCATTTATATATTTATATGAAAGATTAAATAATAATAATAATTTATTTATATCTACTTTAGGTGTTATGTGATCAAGAATGCCATTTTGAACTCTCCATAAAACATCTTGAGTTCGATCACCACAAATTCCAAAATTTAAACTATTTAAAGGTACAAATTTGTCATTCCATATGGGATAACATTGAATTAATTGAATAATAGAAGCACCAATTAAAATAATATCTGGGTTTTGGGCTTTGGCTTCAGCCACATAACGTTTGTGCTAAAAAAATAATAAATGATTAATTTTTGGTCTAGATATTAAAATATATAGGATGTTTTATAAAGACCTAGTTTTTAATTTTACTACAGATCAATTTTATTTCATAAAAAATACATAGTAAATGATAAATATTGTTTCACTAAGAGTTAAGGTTTAAGTGTGGAACACAATATCATGTATATAACCCTCTCTAATCATTTGATATACAGTGACTCTGTCATTGCAATTACAAATCATGTTTTCACAAATTTGCCTATTAAATTAATTCCTAACGATAACTTTTTGAATTTCTTGCTTAAGATTTAATTAAGTTCACGGCTTGTTTACATAAATTAATAACTTAATAAAACCCCTAAAGAAGAAATAAAGCTTAACCCAAGGGTTAAGTATGATTTACGTTATGTGACTTTTTCTTTTATAGTTTCATTAAATCATTGGTTTATACAAACAAGCCATGAACTTCTCTGACACTTATGCAAAATATTCAACAAGTTATCTGTGAACTTGTTGGGAAAGTCTGTAAAAACGTGATTAATAATTGTATTAACAGTCACTGTGTGTCAAACAATTATAAGGGGTAAAATGCATGATACTATGTTTCACACTTAAACCTCAACTCATAGTGAAACAATATTTTTCATTTATAGTATATTTCTTGTAAAATATGATTGATTTGTAGCATTCTTTATGAAACATTCTCTATCAGTCTATTGTAATAGAGATTAGAGCATTCATTTTTGATTTTTATACACACTTGAATTTTCCATTCATTGTCATCATCTAATGGAATCGTTGGAACAATACATGGATTCATAATTTTACAGTAAATTACAAAATTAAAAAAAAATATGATACAATAGTTACCATACTATAAAACAATCCACAGAATTGTATTAATATTATATTATATGTATTAAATTTAATATATTTTTGAAAAAAACATAAAGCATACTACTACAGGGCACAGAATAAATCAATTATCGTGATGATATTATTTGTTGTTAATTTGTTATCTATTTCAGTGATTAGGTTAGGTTAACTGTCTTAGATAATAAAAGTACAGTGCACCCCAGTGCGGGTACAGGGTAGTTGTCAGAAAAATGATAAGAGACCCGATAGTTATCTATAAATAATAATAATAATAGTAATAAATATTATATAAATAATAACAACAACAACTTAATGATAAAGTAAATCTTTATCATGTATTACAAGTAATACGCAATAGAAAAATAAATTATTATTTATTTTATTTTATATTTTATGATGATTTATTATATTTATATTATTATTATTGACCATGTAATGAATAATGATTAGTTTAAAATTACCCTGGTTAGTGATTATTGATTAAATGTATCCACAGATGTTTTATTCTTCCGTTCTATGGTCTTTTCAATTGTCAAATAAATCGTAAACGTATTAAACTATTAACTATTTATTTAGTAATAATATAATTTTTTTTTACGGACAACGTTCTTATTTGTGCCGTATCACCAGAAAGTTCATTATATGTATAGTTTTATGTGTACTAGCGATTCCTTTGGCAATGTATTTAAAGTAAGCCAATTATTTTTTAATATTTTTTCCATTAAATGAAATTAATGTGATAGCTTGGTTATTATAAGTTTTGTTCTAATATTTGATGGGTATGAATAGATTCTGATTAGAAGAGATTTTTAGGGATACTGCATGCTATAAAATTTATAATACTTTAAGTATTATTAGTTTAGTATAACCAACAATTTTTTGGAGCAACAATCTTTAAACTGTGGTCTGTAGCCCCCTGGTGATTTGTTACACTCATATCTTGGATTCACAGTTATTTATTTATGGTTCCAACCTGGTTGTATAAAGTGAGATATTTTGTAAAAAAAAAAAGAAATTTATGGAAAGTTAATTTAGGAGGGGATTTGTGATTTTAAAAAGTCATTAGGAGGTCTAAATTTTACAAAAATGTATAAATATAATACTTTATAACTTATTTAGATTAATGAGAATAGTTAAATTTAATTAGTTTCAATAGTTAATAAGGTGTTGGTTATAGGTCAAATATCTAAGAAAAAAAATCCCTTGAAATAAAATTTTATTTATCTATAATATTTAATTAAATATTTAATTAGAAAATAAATTGGAATAATAATTATTCATGTATTTAATTTTGTTTCAGACTAAAAAGTCAAATAAAATGAGAAATAAAAAATAAAAAAATAATAATGGACGTAGAAATTGAAAAATATGTGAAAAAGCAAATCCAACTCCAAGAACAAATCAAGGAGTTATTTGTCGAGAAAAAAATGTTACAAGACCAAATCTGTGTACTTTATGAATGTTTATCATTAGAAAAGGTAAATCGTAAAATTTCTGAGTTGGAGAATAAACAAAAAATATTAACATCGTTAGAAAGTATGGTTAATAATTTAAGAACTGACATTGAACCATTAGAGTATTTAAAACAGGTGTTGCAAAGGCAACTTATGGTTTCAACTCTACCTACTAATGATCTAAATATCGAAGAGCGGAAATATTCTGATAGTTCATTATTAACAACAAATAGCTCATGTGCCATTGAAACATTGGACTCTTTAAGTGATGTTAGCTCAGAAGAAAGTATCATGATTTTATCTGATTATGATGTGGTTTCGGATGAAGAATTTTTTAACAATACAGAAAAACCTGTTGAGAACAAAGTTATGTATGATGAAGCATTACTGATGGCATCTAGTGTGCATTCATCATTGGTTGATCATCTAATCCCAAATATTGATTCAAATCAACCTTTAATAAATATTAGTGATCAAGTTAAAAGCAATAATTCTTGTCTTCAATTTAGTTCTAAAAACACAGTTTCATCGATCGATTTAAGCAATAAGAGTGAGCACCTCTTAGAATTATATGATGTAGTCAACGAACTAGACCTTCTAAATTGCAATCAAAATGTTAGTATATTATTTATATTTATTTGTTACAGTATTCTATCTAGATAAAGAAGTATTTTTAATAGTTAAGTTTTTATTATTCAATAGGAAAACATTGAAATTAAATGCGATAAAAGAAAAATCAAACCAATTCTTAATGAAGCACACCAGCCATGTATATTTGATAAAGAATTGAGTGATAGTGAAATAAAATTGTATAAAAATGCATCAACTTCGGTTAATGATTCATGGGTAAAAATCAGTCCCAATGAAATTTCTAATGAACAATTTGTTGATATTTTTCAATCAATTACTGACTCACAGAAGGTATTGTACAATACTATAATTTGTTCATACTTATTTTTATAATTTAAAAGACTAATTATCTATTTTTTTAATACTTATGTAGGATAATACAGTGTCAAAAGTAAAAATGGATATAGATATTTGTGAAAAAAATATTGATAAAATTATGAGTTTTGATAATAGTAACAATGTTGATTCTAATTATGAAGATGAAATTCAAAAACCAAGTTCGGTTGAAAATAAAATTCATGTCAACTTGTTACCTTTTACTGAAGATTCTAATGCACTTAAACAATTAAATGGATCAAAAGAAAATTTAAATGTAGAAATACAAGGACAAAATGATCACTTATATAATCACCAGTTTGCATCAAAATATAATAATGAAGTTATGAATTATAAGAATAATTGCAATGCTGTTATTCATTTTAGTGAAAATGAAATTAATAATCCAGTTTGTCCATATGATAAAGTTAAAATTACACCTTCATTGTTATTTACTGAAGGTTCTAACGTATCAAAAGAATCAAATAATTTGTTTACCAATATTAATGATAAACTGTCTTCTATTAATAATAATGTAAAGCCTATTTTGTTATGTCATACTATAGACTTGAAAGATGAATTATTAAATGGTATTCATCAGTATGGCATTCAGAATCTGATGCCCTTGCAACAGGAATGTATGTCCCATTGTGTTAATGGACGTGATGTTATTTTTCACTCATACCCTTGTGTTGGGAAATCAACTGTATGTCTCATTTCAGTGTTGCAAAGGATTAACACTAGTTTAAATGAATGCCAAGCAATTGTATTAGTACCAACGTTAGAATTGGCATTGTCTGCTCAAAAGGTATTTAGTTTATTATTAGGACCATTTGCAGTTTTAATATTTTTAAATAATTAATATTTTTCAGACAATGAAATCAATTGGGAAATTTTTAAATGTTTCTACGTGTATTGGCGGTACCAATGTTCCTCGTAAACTTTCTCCAGTCCCTCATGTAGTGATTAGTACTCTGCAAGGTTTATGTGAAATGATCAATTGCAACTCGTTATGTAAAGATTTTATAAAAATGCTTGTAATTGATGATGCAGAAGACATGTTAAAATGCAATGGATTTTTTAACAAAATTAGATATGTTTTGTTGTTCCTTAACAATAATCGTCAATTAATTATTCTATCCACTTCAAAAATAGAGGAAATCTTAGATCAGTTTTCTGATTTAATGCAGAATCCTGAGTATATATTAGCACCAAATGAAAAACCTTTGTTGAATGGTATTTATTAATCTTCAATTTTTATATTGTTAACTATTATACATTAATAATAAAATTATTTATTTTTAGATATATCGCAGTATTGTGTTTATTTACCTGAAGAATGGAAATTTGATGCATTCTGTGAACTCTATGAAGTACTCAATTTAACACATGCTGTTGTTTACTGTAACACATGGAGCAAGGCTTTGGAAATAGCAGAAAACATGCGTCTTAAAACATATTTAGTATCAGCTGTACATAACGATATAGATACACATCTGCGGAATCTCATATTACACCAGTTTCAATGTGGTACTAACAGGGTGTTAGTTACTGCTGAATTACAGAGAGGCGAGGATTTTTCAGATGTATCTTGGGTTATTAATTATGATCTTCCTAAAAGTCCAAAAGATTATGTGCGTAAAATTGTTGGTTGTTTTAGCCGCAGAGTGAAGGTAATTAATTTTATCACTACAGATGACAAAACAACTAAAGAAGCTATTGAGACTGCTTTTAATGTAAGTATGCTTAATATGCCTCAGGATCTAACTGATTTATGTGTATCTAACCTGTAATCTATAATATATTAATAATCCAATATTTAATTTTAAATATCAATAAATTTTATTACTATTTTGGGATTATATTTTAATTTTTTAGTTATTATTATTTATAATTACATATTTACTATATTGTATAGTTATATAAATGTTTTCTATGCATGATCAGACGAATTTGAGATGTTGGATAGATATACAGTACATCCTAATATTATGTTTACCTTATTTATTTTTGTTTTATTGTAACATTTATAGGTCATTAAATTTGTAAACATTTATTTTTGTGATCTATTTTTTTTTATTTTAAATATTTTTTTTTTTGTTTTTATTAACATTGCCAACTCTAACCACATTTTTATTTTAAAAATAAATCATAAGATAAGATTTAATATAGATTTTATTTGTAGCATAAATGCTAAAGTTATATTCTAATAAATGTTTATTTCAATTGAATTATTTAGTTTGTTACATTTCAAATAATATTTATGACATATTTTTATTATTATTTCTGAGTACAATTATCTTATAAAATAACAGCTAACTAAAAGACATAAATACATTATTATTTTTTTGTTTGTAAATCAAATATTTTTTTATGAAAGTTCATTATAATATATACATTTTAATTTTAAAAATTTAAATTAAATAAGAAAATATTTGATATAATTAACTTGTCCATAATCAAGATGATTATGATAGTATTATAATTTTGAATGTGTTATTTTGTCCTCTGCAAATATAGAATACATAAGTTATAAGTTATAACAAATGTTGAAACAACATTTTTAGTTTAATAAAATATGAACAATAAAAATTATATTAAATTTAATCACATAAACTAAAAAAAATTGTTACTTATGTTGTTACATTTAACAATAGAATGAAAAAATATAATATTTTATAACATATTAAGATGAATCTTATTAAAGCAATATATTAAGATAATGTTTGTGATAACTGATAATTATTGTATTATATTTTATGAGATTAATTCATTCTAAATTAAAACTAACAATACTCTTATTGAATACAAATTTGTTATACTGCACCTGGGTAAGAGAGAAAGTAAGCAGTTTATTGACAAACTACATTTTTTTCATTCTATTTTAATTTTTGGATACAAAATATTTGCATTTTTTCATTAAATAATATTTTAATAATTAAAAAAATCTAAATCTTATTGTTTTTGTATAGACATAATATACCTATTGTGCTATGTAATTATTTAACTATACTTATAGAATTTATTCACATTTACTGTATCTTGATAACTAAAAAGCCTTATAATTTAGTGTTATTATTAATAGAAAAAAAAACTTTGTTAGTCTACTAACAATAGTCAAGCTGTTTAGGCTTATTATTAGTATACTGTTATGTGTGCTTAAATTTTGGAAGAAATGTTTGTACATTATTTTGTTTAGTACGGTATCAGTACATATTTTTAAGTTTATAAGGAAAGGTTAGGTATGTACTACAAGGCTTTTAGTTAGTAGTCTTAGCTTAATTAATTGGAATGCCTGAATTGGCCTGATGTTTGAGGGCTTGACAGAATCCTAGATTGTGATTCTATGGAAAAAAACATCCTACTGCAGTATTGTAACTAATAAGACAATCTAAATTTGGGGTTGGGAACATGCGTCTCCTTAGCATGCAATTTGAAGCTCTTTGGAGTATATCTTAATATTGATACCCATAAAATATAAATTAAAATTTAACATTATAATGAATTAAAGTTTTTCTTAAATTTATGATTTATTATTATGATTTTAATACCTACCAATTCTCAATTAAATTGTTTAGTTAGATACCTATATGTAATTTTTTACCATGGTTTATTTTTATATTTACTTGTGCACTTGAGCACTTCTGAAAGTCATGATTTTGCAATTATTTGAAAACGCTTCATTTATACAAAAAAATTCACCACCTCTGATTTAGATTGTAAGAAAAATATCGATAAATAAAACAAATTTATATGTTAATAATACCTATTACGTGTATTGTTATTATGTATTAAATAGTCTTCAGAATAAAAATATTAAAATTCTTTTCGTTCATATCTTCACTATTATTATAGCACTCTTCTAGATTTAAATTATTGAGTACTTATCTTAATTAAAATATGAAATTATCACGTATAGTTATAACATATTTTACACTATTACAGTACAACATGTTAATTATAAAATGACCTATGCTAATTTATTTCTTGAGTTATAATATTTAACAATATTTAGGTGATAGACGGAAGACTAATTTGGTACAACTAATATTTACTATTTTATAATTTGTAAATTATACTAATTCGTTAGTGAAAAAAAAAAAACGAAAATACTCATGAAAAAAAAAATTGTCGATCCACGTAAATTTAGTTTAATATATTATAAATTTTCAAAATTATATATTCGCCACTACGATAGTGGTAACTTTGTGTTAGTAAAATAATAATAGAACTGCGGTCGTATTATTTTTATATACCGCGGTCGATATGACGATATTAAATTTGTTTTAACTTGGTCCTGCCCAAAAATACACATTAATTAAATGCTGTATAACAAAGAATTAATCGCTTTTTTTCGTTTACACGTATAATCGGAATAACCTACAAATGTAGATTACTCAGCACTTTTCAGTTTTCACTGTTTTCTGTTTGACGTTTGATGAGTTGTCGCGTGACGCGTATTCGCGTGGTAGTCGGCAGCTAACTTTTGTCCATTTCATATTATTTTGTTGCTCGTTGTAATCTCGTTGATTGTTCGTATTGTATCTGTTGACTGTTCTACAGTGTAGTTGTAGTGTCACTCATAAATAATTCATCATAAAAATAATTATTTCTTTCGTAGTGTTGTAATAGTGTAATTATACTACAGATAATATTTACATTGATTTTGCCATGGTATTTAGAGTTCAGACTTCAGACTTTAGTATCTATCGGAGGCTGATCATTGATCTCCATGTTAACCGCATTGGTAAATTACTGGAAATTATAAATATTAAAATATATAATTTATTTTGACATTTGATGTGGCTAGATTATGTTTGGGGGGATGGGGGTTAGGTTAGTCTCCTACAATATCCGCCTTTGTTAAGACTTAAGTGTATAGTTGTCTATTGTATTTATTTTATCTGAAAGTTCTAATTTAGCTTCTTTAAGTTTACTTATTAAACTATAAAATCTTTACTTGGATGTATTACATTAGTTGAATTATGTTAAATTATTTAAAAAAATATTATATTGAATACTACCTCTTAAAGTCTAATAAAATTTTGAGTCAGGAAAAAGTGTTATTAGATTTATTGTAAAAAAAATTTATCAGGTATGTTTGTTCTGAAAATGTTAAGGTACTACTAGATTTATTATATTATGTAATAAAAAAAATTAATTAAATAATAATTACTGCTAGGTAGGTACTAAAATTATTAGACATAAATTAACATAAGAAATCTGATAGTGAAATTAATAAATTATGATTCATAAAATATAGATTGCATACATATAAATTATAACCGTTATAAATTATATTGAATGTGGAAAACATAATTTTATGGAATTAAACTGTGTGTACACATACATACTTGTATACACAAAATTTTCTGGCCGTGAAATTTTAATTTGACAAAAAAGAATTGTTATTTGACTCATAAGTGTCCATTATGTGATATTTGTAAAACATACAAGAAATTACTTGTAATTTAACCTATTAAATATAAATTAAAGATTTAATTAATTTTAATGAACATTGTGAAATTTGTAATTAAATGAGTTATTTCATGATTTGTTTCTTTAGTTAATAAATTGTTTTACAATGTAGGTAATTGGGGTATAATTAGCGAACCACGTTAATAATCAAGTAACTCAAATCAATTATTTTCATAATAATAGCTGTCAGTTTTTTCCCTATTTTAATACAAAATTTAATGCAGCATGCTCACAAATAGTTCAAAATAATCAAGAAACCTTTTAAAGTAAATTAATAATTATTTTTGAAGATATCAAATTTGAATATTTAATATTTTTGATATTATTTAAATTAATGTATGTAGGTATATTAGAATATTTTAGTTAATTATTTAAACTAAATTGGTTATGTTGGTTTGTTCTTTGTTTTATATTTAGACTTTAATTTTAGTTAGGTTTGGGTATCTACTATTCAAATTATTTTTTAACTACAACTTTAAATTTATTAGTTAGATGTTATTATGAACTGTAAACACAAACTATTAGAATCAATATTAAATTAGACATTTTTTTAAATAATACAATAATATATCCTAATATTAAATAAATTGTATATTATTTATTGTAACACTCAACTTATTGTAATGTATTTAGGTAAAATAAAGAAGTATAAAAATGTACTAATTCAATATGATAAAAATACTGTAATTAATTATTTTTGTGAAGATTGAATAAGTTAATAATTAATTTGAACCTCTGGCATGACATAGCGTTCTGTAAGTTCAAAGTTCTTAAGGGTTGATTGTTTTAGAACCATTAACGTGATTTTGCGTCTCCGAGTTCAAAATTAAGTGTTTTTATTGTTGTGAGTATTTGTGTTACCATTGTTGTTTTAAAGTCTGTTATTTTTGTATGGTATGGAGGAGTTGACACTTCAAACCCATCTTGTAGGTACTGTTATGCAGTTTTTTTGTATGCTTGTTTTTGGATGGGTGACCACCCAAGAATTGAAGTGTATAGCATACTATTTATCATAATGTAGCCTTTATTTGAGCTTTAAAATAATAACTGTTGAAATAAAATTTAAATCAAAAAAAAAATTTGTATACTGAGTTTTACAAATTATATGAGTTTTATCAACATATTATTGACCTAATATATTACAAATATCTTGAGTGTTATAAATAATCTACAATTATAATTAAATTTTCAATTTGATAATTTATAGGTATATTAAATTTATTTATTTATGCTATTTAAAATTTTTTTTTAGTATAGAAATGCTGGATAAATTTAATTAGGGTATTAGTATTCTTGTAGTTTAATTTCATTACTTAATATTTATCAATGAATAATACATAAAAAAAAAAAAAAAAAAATTAATAAATAAATATAAAT